CAATATGCCAGAAATTATTTTTTCAAAAAAATAATTCCAACTCTTCCAGAAAAGAATATGTCTCTACCTAATACTAGTAAAGAAAAGAAGGTGAATAAGAAGAGCGATTCGACTCAAGACCTTTTTGACTATATGACAGATAAAGTTCTAGTTGCCTCAATATCTGGCACATCCTCTAAAACACCTGAGCTAGTAATCGATAAACATGAGACTAGCAAGCTTCCCGAATCTATCGAGCCTTTCAATAAAGTGATAAATTTGCCTTCTAAAGAGACCCCAATAGATTCTCCCAAGCCTAGTAGCAATGAAGTATTATCTGCTATACTTTTGTCTAGAGCCTAGCACGAAGAGCATCTTAGAAAAAAGGCAGTCAAACTTGGTGAGGATCTGAATATCTTCATGACTATCACCAAAAAGGATAGGCTTGATTTCATTATATTTTGTGATAGAATAGAAATGGATACATGAATATGTAGTTATGCAAAAGGGAAAGAAGAAGACCCTAAAGAATATATAGAAATGATAGTGCATAAAAAATTGATAGGTGAAGAAATAATATGCCATTCGCTCGAGGAAAAGGGAAAAACATCATCCTGGCTCAATACTAATAAGGAATGGCAAAAAAATATAAGCATACTCCAGAAAAAATAGTATGCTTTGGTAAAGAGCGAATAAGAGCAGGTTAATAGATATTGGTAGAGATAGGACTTTTTGTTCTTTACAACTAGGCAATATAAAATTCCAAATTATTATTTTTTATTTTTTAAGCATGAATATTTTTTTCGAATTGAACTTTTTCTCATCTAATATAATCTGACAAACACAGGTTAGTCTAACTACTACATATATTCTACATACCTTATCATGTCTGCTATTATAACTAATTTGTTACAGAACACAAGCTTACCAAAGAAATGAGCATCAAAGAGCTTAGCCAATATGTACCAGAAATACTTAAACTCTTGACAAGTGATGTATCACAGGTAAATAGAGAGAAAAGGTGCCAAGCTCGTAATCATTTTCAAAAAGGGTACGGTTTTAGCAAAGTGCAGGCATTTGCATTGATTTCTGACTAGAGAATTGGGCGATGTATAAGTCAAGTAACTTCCAGAGAAAGAGGCTTAAAAGCAGAAGTTAATATTTGTCAAGTATCAGATAGTACTAGTTCTGAGGAAACTATTAAAGAGATAGCTCAGCATATTGTCTGGAATAATCTTAGTGAAAGAGATATAAAAGTGATATTTAAAACCTTAGTTGAAACAGCCCCTAATATTGTCGCTAGTTCATCCTGTCTCTCTAGGCTTCGAAGTGAATTATGAGGCCTCAATGCTTCAGAAAAAATAATTTCTGCTATATCAAATCCAGATATAACCAAATTATCTAATAAAATCCAAAAAAAGTATAGAGAACAATGTAAAAATGAAGGGCTCCATTATCCAGATCACTTCTTATTAGAATCAGTTAAGGAAAAGCTAGATTTGTATGATATATCCAATAGACCTGACAAACAGGCCCTAGCTGATATAATGATTATGCCCTATATCCACCCTGCTGAAATTAAAAACTTGCATATATCTAATAGCGGTATAACTGGATATGCAAAAATCGGGGTTAACAAGATATCCCTCGAGTATTTAGATCACTTAAAAAGAATAAAAAGCGAGCAAGAAAATTGCTTACATGGATTCAGGAAACAATCATTTCTAGGGAGTTAAAGGATTCAGAAAAACATGGATCTACATACTTAAGTTTATTTTTAAAAAAAGATGAATTTATTCTCAAACCTTATAAGCCACTACTTCCTAGCTCTTTGCGCAAATTAGGATCAGTATTTGCAGTTGTATTGCATGGTGTGAAGAATTTATCAGAGGTTATGACCATTGCTAGTTAAGCCTTTCAACATTTGCCAGACAACCATGTCTCTCCTGTGCAAAATTATACAATAGTTAATTTAAGAAAACGGGAAGAGCTATATGATCAGGCAAAGGCATTTAAGCTCTTTGATAAAAACTAATACCTTCTCAAAATAAATTTTCTCAGAGGGTGGGTTAGATGTCATTTATTAAATTTATTTTTTCGTTCGCCTTAGATATATCATACTATAAAATATCACAAAAATGACAACTAATCAAAAGTATTCATCGGATAGTATACTTAACGAGTCAGAAGATACCAGACATATAAAAAAAATTGCTATGTTATTTGGATTAGATAAGCAAAATATAGAAATATATAAAGTGCTTTTTGGACAGATTTGGAAGCTCGAAAAAAAATTAGAAGATTATTATTTCAAATATGAAAAGCTTAAAAGGAGAGTCAATTTATTGGAAGCTGAAACAGAAGATGAAGACGAATGTGTAAATAAAGAAACTTTAGTTGACTTAATACAAGAAATGGTTCCATCACTAATTATTAGAAAATATAAGAAGAGAGGTTTACTTTGTGAGCCCCTAAATAGATCTGACTCTAGTTTATCTAACTCTAGTTCATCTGAAGATTCTAAAATGGTTAAATGCTACTATCCTAAAAAGAAGATACTGTAGAAGAATCAGGTAAATACGGATTCTAAATCTGCAAAGTTTAGAAAAATATATAATGAGTTAATATCTTCATTAAATAAACAAATGAATGGTTCTTTGGAGAACTACGTAAATGAACCATTGTCGCATCATCCTATAAAGAAATTTAAAAGAAGGAAGTTTGAAAGACCAGGCACAATTGTTAAAATCTCACCCAATCAATGCTAGTCTGAAGCAGAGATCATCAGCATTACATTGTTCTAAAGAATTTTTTCTGATTGAAATATCTTCTGACTATATAAAAAATAAATAGAGTTAATTTACTTGACCAACTTCCGCCAGAAACTCAGAATATTTTTTCTATTAAAAATATGATATAATTATATTAGCAATAAACATAATAATGAGAGGATTGTTTAGTGATATGTTTATAAGAGATACTATTAATTAGGTAGATCGATCATTCCCTCTGAGCTCTCCAGTTTTAGAACCTAAAAAGGGTATACAAATACTAGCTCCCACACAAGGTGATAGCTAGGGTTCCACAATTTGATTTGATTTGATTTGATTTGATCAAATATTTGAACTCAAATCAAATTCAAATATAGAAAT